TGGGCATCGTTGTATTCGTAGTTGGCTGTTTGTCACAAAGTAAAATTTTGTTTCCTTGTTTGACTAAGATTTTAATCTAAATCTTCCACTTCCCAATTTTTCATCGACTATCCAATGTTACAAAACACAGACACTGGCGGTAATGTCAGAAAATAAATTCGCACCTTAAAAGTTAACTCCTGCAAAATAGTTTAATGAAAGGAAAACATTTTCAACCTAATTTAATAGGTCTTCATCAATTATGAAGACTGATGAAGACCTATTAAATTAGGTTGAAAACGTTTTCCTTTCATTAAACGATTTTGCAGGAGTTCATTTTTAAGGTGTGAATTTATTTTCCATCAGCTATACTTCAAAGAATGTAGTACACCATTTTGAATGCCTCAAAAGGTATCAAAAACTGAAAATAAAGCTAAACATTAAATATCTGTTTACTTATCAATTTACCACAATTTTTCTGATATAAATAATTACTTTTGCCACTTCAATTAACAAGTCTCAAGGACAAATAACTGCTGCTAGCTTGTAGCTGGAGGAATCTTGCATTTCCTATGGACAACTGTGTAGCATGTTCATGTTGGAAACTCGTGTAATCTTTTTATGTGTTTTTCTTTTTATTTTGTATAAATCTTTATCTTTTCTCATACCATCTCATACTATCCGACGTGTCTTTATGATTTAAGAGACTGTAGTTTACTGTAGTCTCTTAAATCAACTGGCTTACAACTGAAGGAGTCTTGTTTTTTCCCATGGACAACTTTATGTAGAATATTCAAGAGTTGGGGAATCCACATAATCTTTTTGTTTATATTCGTGAAAAGACCTGTAATATTTTTATTTAATGTAATGTTTTTATATGTAATGTTGCATACAGTGTTCAATAATAACATTAAATCATTCCTAATTATGTAATGTATCTTTATGAAACTGTAAAATTATGCATTTTTAAAGAATATAGAACTATTTAGCCAGTTCTTATATCTTTTTTTAATGGGTGAAAAACCATGTTAAAAGCTTGGTTAATTTTTATCCTGGACAATGCCATGTATCTCTGCTAGAATATCTCTGTAAATAATTTTCACTAAAGGTAGGTAGCCTGACAGTCTAACTTCAGTTGAAATTACTTAGTTCAGTGATTAAAGTTTATCCAAAAATATAGCTGAAGAAATCTGACTGTTTAAATATTGGTATTTTATTACAGTAGACCCTGCTTAATGTGGGGATGCATTCCTAGATGACAAAGTGCTAAACAAAACAGTGTTAAACGAGGTCATTTTAACATAGAGTAAATAGGGAAAGGGGAACATGTGACCAAAAATATACAGATTTTACTTTAATTTTAAATTATTTTTATATTAATTTGTATAATAATATACAGGGTGTTTCACAGCCTCTCCACAAAGTTTTTTTTGAATAACTTTTTTGAAAATTTGAATCTTTTAATGAAATTTTCAGCAAAGATAGATGAAAAAGGAAATTAATGCAAGATATTTTTGAAATGTCTGCCATCTGTCATGATGCAGTAGTGAAATCTCTCTTGGAAATTAGCAATCACATTACTACAGGTCTGGTCTGAGATGCCCTTCATGATACTCTGGATGCTTTCTCTCATCTGACTGAGGGTGGTAGGGTTATTCTTGAACACCTGATCCTTTGTGTATCCCCAAAGAAAGAAGTCTAGTGGACTATTCCTTTTTCTGTGAATTTCTTCACCAAAGCCATTATTGTGGTTCTATCAGGAGTTGAAGAGTTTTTAAAGGTACTAGGCCACTTATGACAGAACAAAGTTGGTTTTCTCCCAACTGTTACCAAAATTTTATCATATTCACACGGTCTTCAATTGAATATTGGGACATTTTGCCAAAAATTACAGAAAAATCAAATGTTTTGAAGCAATGTACTTTTGTGATAGAAGCACCATCTACAAAAAATTGAGGCTGAAAACTGCACAGTTCAAAAGTTATTCAAAAAAAACTTTGTGGAGAGGCTGTGAAACACCCTGTATGTTAAATAACTCATAAACATATGCACACAGAAATGTAAAGTTCATATTTTGGGATAAAGATCCTGACTTTTCTAAAATTTTTGTTTTTTGCGATGAAGTTGTGTAGTTTTATTTGTTGCTTTTCTTTCCATTAAGCAAATGTCGATAACAAGATATTGCATCCAAAACATTTCATCTTGCTTTTGCACTCCTTTCAAAATCTCGATCATTTGCTACAATTTGATCAATGATTTCGTTTATCATTGCCAAATTTTTACTAAGGAAATCTGTAGAGAAATATTTTGCATTCTTTATTTTCAGAATCTCTATTTTCCAATTCCACATGAATTCCTTGTTCTGCCAGTTCTTGAAGGTTGTCATTGGTAAGGTTCTCGCCAGAAACCTGCAGTAACTTAATATCCTGCTCGTCTACATCTCCTAGTCCTGTTGTATTGATTAGGTTGACAATTTGGTCAACCTAATGATACAGCAACAGGCTCTTCTCGTTGAGAATTCTTGGATGCCTTCAGCCATAACTTCTTTCACACTTAGTCTTAGTTCATGCATTTATTAGTTAATTCTTGCCAAGCAAAGTCAATATTTTGTAAGGCATCCATGATGATGTATTTTTCCCAAAATTGCACAAAACAAACATAGATTTAAGGAAAGTATGGTGCTACAAATTTCCACCTTTTGCTGATAGGTTTGTGTTGGGGAATAATCATATTACCATATTAGCCCGAATATAACACAACCCCGAATTTAACGCGACTCCGAAATTTTCATAAAGATATTTAGAAAAAAAATAATACTGATAAAAGAATTCAAAGAAAGTAAAATTCAATCAGATAAGCATTTATTTAGGTAATTATAGCTAATAACACAGGTTACATTCCTGTCAATAAAATTAAGTAATGTAAAACAAAATTAATATTACGTAAGTAACAACAAAAAATGGAATTGTTTATTCAGAATCTGAACTGTTTTCAGAATGAGAACTCATTTAATCGCATCGGTATCATCAGTATTTTCATTCACGCTTTCAGTCTCCCACAAAATGTTATCTTCCATCCCCTTTAAATCATTGGAAATGCAGCATTTGTTGGAACCTTTAACTATCGATTCAGGTTCGATCTTCTGCCAGGCCATTCTCCTAAAAGAGAGACTGAAGGTTTTTTATTTTTCCTGAAGGTGTCAATGGATGATTGACCAATAATAGCCAATTGTTGTATTCTTTTCAAAAATTCTCTGTAAATGGTTTATTAACTACCACATCCAAGACTTGCAACTGAGAAGTCATACCACATGGTGTATTATTACAATTTTGGAATTCAATGCCTCAATGCCTTTTCCTTAACACTTTTTGTAAGGTGGCCTCGAAATGCATCAAGGACTAGCATGAGCGGGAGTTTCTCAGAGAACCTGGCCATTTCCTCCATATCACATTCAACCAGTCTAATACCAACTCCTCTGTCATCCAACCTTTTTCTTGGACCTGAAAAACAATTCCAGGACACAGCTTTTCTTTGGGCATTGTTTTACATTTCAATATAACGTAAGGTCGAAGCTTTTGTCCGTCAGCGGTAACAGCAAGCATAACAATAATTCTGGACTTTTCATAACCAGCTGACTTCAATAAGACCGTTTTTTCACCTTTCTTATTTACCGTAAGGTCGGAAGGCATGTCAAAATAGACTGGTGTTTGGTCTGCATTTCCCATATTTCCAAGACTGTAGTTGTGCTTTTTGCATAATGATATAACATGGCGCTGATAAGCCAACAATTTTTCATTAAAGTCGTCAGGAAGTTTTTGCGCGAGAGTTGTCCGCCATCATAGTGATAAACTGTTCCTTTTCATGATTCTTCTACACCAACCCATATTTGCCTTAAAGTCCTTTCTAGGAATGTTTAAATTAGCAGCCTCTTCTAACGCTTTAAATCTTATGACTTCACGGGATATTGGGCACCCTTCATTTTACTTTTCTATTACTATTCTATTACTTTTTAACACTCGCTGCTCAACTTCATTAAACCTTCCTTTTTTAGGTGCACTTAAAGATTTTCTTGAAGAATTTGCATTCTTATATTTCCTTAAATCTTTTCTCCATAGGCGGATGTTTACTTCTGGAACTCCGTATTTCCTCGAAGCTCTCAATTTGTTCGTTCTTTCTGCCTTGTTTGCAACCGTAATTTTAAAATTCATATTGTAGGTTCTCCTGGTATCTTTATTTATTTGACTCTTTGATGAGCCCTTTTTTTTCAACAGTACTTTTATTACTCGCACTTATTTTTTATGGGCAATAAAGAAAAAAGTAAAGTAACCGTCGCTAGTCACTACAGCAAAAAAAACAAATGAAACAAAACAGTTGCGTGAGACGTTAACAAGCAGAGACATAGCCTTACTATAGTAGCGCTATGCAAACAAAAGCGCTGGCCGACTAACTAGATCACATGGTTGTTTTGAAGTGGTCGGTCGAGCTAGGAATTGGTCGGACGTTCAGTCGCGTTTCAACCTCTGTAGGAAAATGTCCTTGTTTATATTACATTCCATTACTTAAACCCCAAATTTAGCGCGAGTCGATTTTTTAACGGAAAATAAATGGTTGAAAAATATCGCGTTATATTCAGGCTAATACAGTATATACGAATCAATGAAATGCCACGATAATTTGAATCACCATAAATTTTGAGCTTTTTTAGGCTTTGAACAGACTGCATTATATCGAATCAGTGTTAATCGAGGCAGTGTTAAGTGGGGTCTTTAAATGTACAACTTTGTGTTGTTGAGCTCTATAATGGTATTATCACACCATCATCAGACACAAGACCAAGACGTGTCTGATGATGGTGTGATAAGTCTAGAAATAAAGATGCCATTATAGAGCTCAACAACACATTTTAAACTAGACAAGAAGTGTATTATAATATTAAAAATTTCTATGTAAATGATAAAACTTTTACAGCAATTGGTGATTTAAAAAAAATGCTGATTTTATTTTTATTATGTTTTGTTTAGACTCAAATACTGAGACTAGCAGTGATCAAGAAAGTAATGAATTTTATGAACCTGTAGAATCTGAGGTATTATGAAATTCAGTATTATTAAAATATAATAAACGTATATGTAATATTAAATTTACTATACTTTGTTAATATTTCATTAATGTAAAATGTAATGATCCTCCATTTCATTAACTACTGGTGGGAGAAATGATACAATTATTTGGGTTGTCTATTGAATTCATGAGCAACTGTGGCCGTGAGATCCTAATATGCAGTCAGACCTTTAGCAACATAATTTTATTTTACTGTTTTCTGTCTTGTGCCATTATTTGACCTTAATTAAACTGATATTCACGACAAAGAACATTCAAATCAAACTTGACTAGTGAAAAGACGAGACAAAACTATATATTATGAGCAATTATTTATTGTAACATTGTCACAATACTGTGCTGCAAATTTTAATCATATTTTTAATTTATTTAATTTAAAATATATGCTCTCCACCTCAAATTAGTAGTGTCTTGCCCTTATACTTTATCTTTAACAATGGAGTTGTGCCAGTCATCTATAAACTGCTTTCAGGGGAAAAGTTTTGAATTGAAATAATATGACTTCCGGTTTGCATCGGAAGTTCTTATATAGTTAATCGGGGCCTCCAGCCCCTAATGTTTCCATATCTGATCTCGTCTTTCATCTATCTAACTTTGATCTCAAGATTATGAAAGACGGATGGATGGACAACAGTGGGAATTTACAGGTCTACAATTTTTCAAATTGCAGCCCAACTAGTTTGCATATCATTAACATATATTATTTTAGTACCTAGTTTTCTGGTGGTTATGGTTTATAGTTATACTCGGCAGCTCAAAGCCTGCAACTTCGTAAGGAACTTTTTCTGGATGCATCCTGCATCCAGAAAAAGTTGCTCATCACTGGTCTATTGCATCCTAAAGTTGTCATAGTTAATTACAAAACAAACTTTATCTGATATATGATGACCAACACACAACCTATATTGAAAGAAACGTAATACACTTCCAAACATAAATTATAAAATAGCCAATGATATGCTGACTACAGACATTCTGTACATTAACTGTCAGTCTGATATTTTCAGATGCTGTATTTCTACTCTGACAGATGACTTGGAGCAAGCAGATTTGGTCTGTTTACAAAATTCATTATTGAGAATTCATATTACTAATGGTAGAACCAGGGTCGTATAGTAATGGCAACTATCGGAAGTATACTTTCCAAATTTCATTTGTGTATTATTTGAGTTTTGTGATTGTGGTTGTTTGTTTATTTCAAACAGCTTGTTTTTTTTAATGCTCTTTCTGATTTAAATTTTGGACATTAAGAAATATTTAGTATTTTTATGTAAGCAGTGTATACATTATATTTAAAAACATTATTATAAAGAGTGCAAGTTAAGTGATGGCTGGATGGCTGAGCAGTTAGGGTGGCAGCCTAATGCTCTGGGAGACTTGGAATAAAATTCTGGTGGGTCAAAATACTCAAGGAATTTTTTAGGAAGTAGTTCGTCTATATATATTGTGCTCCATCCCTCACCACCCTGCCTGCCATCATGAACCCATGATGGCCTTGCTAAAATGGCCATATTAGTATTCACAGAGTGGAAAGAGTTTAAAAAGATGTGTCAGTTAAGCAATGAAAAAGAAAACAGTTACGAATACAAACTGTTGTGTATGGTTACAATAGGAAAAAAAGAGAATGAGATAAGAAATTAAGTTTTTTCATTATTTTCTTCAACAAAAAAGCAGCTTTTTCTGTATGATTATGATTAAAAACTAAGTACCCATGAAAAAATAGATAGAAGAAAAGTTTGGAAACTGAAGTTATTTAAATAAATGTATTGCCCTTCTTAGCATGCTTGTTCCCCAAACTTTGAGAAAGGTGATTATATTTTGTCAGGCATATAAAATGTTTCAATGAGGTTGTAAATATTCATTATATATTATAATGTTTCAAACTAAATCTTCTACCATAAGCTAGAATTTTTATAAATTATATATAAAAACACACCTTTTCATACATTTCCAGCACTTCTTTATAGTTCTAATAAATGTTTTTGGCTTGATTTATAGGCCTTCTTCAGGTTATAAGTTGTTCCAATTACAAGGAGTTATGCTGTGTTCCAAAATAGAACAATTCAAAGTTTCTTTGAGATTATTTAAATTTCTAATGTTGTAACTTGAGATTTATAAATTTAAATAAAATTACTTATTAAAAATATAAAAGAAAATTTAATAAGTATTAAGTACGTGGAGGCAATTAATAAAAAATTATTGATTTAAGTACATTTAGATAAAAACGCTTGCAATATGCTGAGGTTTTCTCTGTCGTTAATGCAAAGCCTTTGGCTTGCTGCTTTATAGATGTCGATGGTTTCACTTATCCTTAATTTTTGCATATCAAATATTTTTCTTAATAATTTTGCATCTTCCCAACATGGGGACATCTGGGTTCGCTTGCATATTGGTCTAAGGCAATGTTATAATTTCTTTTAAGGAAATTATAACACTGCCAAATCATCTTAATCATAACATTTGTAAGCATTCCTAGTAAATTCCTTAGGTTAAAATAAGATTAAGTAAAAATACGCAAATGCTAAACTGATCAAAGGAGTCAAATTTTATTTGATTAAATGTTTTTTGGGACTCCTCCATTCCATCATCAGAACCCTAGAGCATTTTAATCTATTTCCATGCAGTCAGCATACTCCAAAACTAGTTTAAAAGGATTAAGAATGCAATTACTATTATATTATTATGATCCAGCTTATAAGACGATGCAGATTTATGCACATTTTTCAAAAATGTTATTAAGGTTTCTTCATCATTTTAGAAACTTTATTTGTCAAAACATAAACTTACATTTCTTTTAGTTTTATGGTTATACAATTTTGTATAATTGTGATGAATTTCAAATCTGCAATTTTTAATTGTTTACTATTATGTGAAAAATATTGTAATAGAGAAGTTAAGGCTATATAAATTGTATGGAATAGTTGAATTTTGGAATTAATTCTGATTAATTTCAAATTTAGTAAATACAGGGTGCTCCCCTTGAACATTCCTTTTTTTAGATTATTCTGTAAAATCTATTTTAGGTGAATAAAATGTTTTGGAGAATGTTGTTCAATACTTCAAGTTTTGTGTACATATGCTTTAAAGGGCAAGGATCGTGTATATGCTGATTTGTGACTTGCCACAAAGAAAAAGTTCAGAAAGATGATGTCAGGAGAATGGTTGGACCTGGAACTGGGGCTCCAGTAATCAAGTTCATATAGCAGGAGAGGTCCAGATTGCCACCATGGAGTAGCAGTGGTCATTTCAAGCATATAGACATAAAACTTGGGAGTATTGACAAACATTATCCAGCACATTTTATTCTCATATCTGAACAAATTGATTTTACAGAACAGTTTAAAACCAGGAACATTCAAGGGGAACATCCTGTATTATTGATAACTAATCAATTAATCAATTTAAGCACGTATAGAATTTACAAAACTTTTTGTTTTTGAAAGAATTTTTATGTAATGAAAGTAGATTTTTAAGCTTGAACATTTATGTATATGGAAAAGTAATGTTTAAAATTTTATTTTCACAATTAAATTTAATCATTTTTATTTGCTGTGGTTTCTTTATAGTATATTCCGGATTATTCCGACGCAAGAATAACGGAACTGTATTCTTTACAAAAATTTCCCGAAAGTAAAGAAAGAAAATATAATGGTAAGTTATCACAATTTTCAAGATATTTATTCAAAAACATAAATTAAAGTAATTGCAAGTGACCAGTATGAATTAAGTTTTATTAATTAAACTTTAAAGAAAATTTAAGAATATTTATTATAACCAAATATGAAATTGTGTGTGTATAAAACTTATACAGGAGCCGTAGTAAGGGTCTAGAAGAGCCACATGTGACTCACAAATCACAGTTTAGCCACATGGCCATATAAATTCAAATACAATGATAAAAGGTATATTAATGATACAAGGTATATAAGGGTATATTAATATATTAATACAAGGTATATTAATACAATGATACAAGGTATATTAATACAATGATACAATGTACTTTTAAATTTAAACTGCTTCTAGCCAATGGCATAACCATAAACAATTGAAAGAATTGAAAATGTTTGGAAATTAATGTAAATGTGATTAGGATCATCAGTAAAGTATGAATTAATGAATTTTGAGAATTGGAGAAAAGACTTAAAAATTTAGAAGTAACAAATATTAATTTCATTTCTATATTCATTTAGGATCTTGAATAGATAGCAAGAAAGATTAGCTGTAATTATCATGTGGCAACCGAATAAATGATTTTGTTAATGTACGCCCAATGCTTAAAATGCCGATTATTAGTGTAAGTCATTGGTTCTCAATGTACGATCCATGTGCCACTGGTGGTTCGCATTCTGATCTAGTCACTTTTCCAAAATGCAATTGTATGCTGTTTAGTCAGAGAGAACATTTTTACACATCATGTTAGGTTACCGGATAGGCAAAATATTTTGACACACAATTTATTATTATCTACAGTGATATTTATAAGATAAGTAGACAGAGGCATGTTTTGTCTGTGATAAATTTAAGTTGTCTACAGATCTTTATAACAGAACATTTCTAGTTTACAAATCTCAAACAGAGAACAAATAGATACAGATTATTGATTACTATAGTATCATAGCAAAAAAAGATGCCTTAAAAAATTATTTTTAAACATTTTGTTTAAAATGTAAATAAATTTTACTAAAAGAAATGTTTAAAAGTAATTTTTTTAAATGTTTTCTTTTGCTATGATACTTGTGAAGTATACAATGTACACCAATCGATAGAGTAACTAACTGTCCAAGTTTCATCTCTTATCTTCATTCAAACATGTTGTCCACTGCCTGCAGGAGGTGACATAAACAAAAAATGGCTACTCTGCAACAGAGAAGGCATTTTCTGTTCTGCAGTTTGTAAAGTCAGAATCACACCATTGTGCTATATGAGTTTCGCACACAATTTCAAAGTGAGCTACTATGTAAGACACAAGTTCTTGAGTGATATCAATGGTACACAAGATGAAACGTCAGCATTTGATTTTATTATCGTTTTCTGGTTCATCCTGAATTTTTCCCTTGCAAATGCATCTTTTCTTCTGGAACTGTCAATATCACCAAAGGATGTTTGTCATGGTGGATCACTTTGAAATTGTCTGTGAAATTTATGTTCCACAATGATGACCGATTCCAACTTTGCAACTGCAGAACACAAAATGCTTTTTCTGGTGCAGAGTTGCCATTTTCATTTACGACACTTCCTAGAGGTGGTAGATAATAAGACATCTAACCATCTGAGTTTTGTCTCCTGTCTGCATTCACTCTGTTGATTGGTGTATGTTGCATACTTCTTGGATAATAATTAATGTAGCTACAGTAATTTAAAATGGTAGTATTCTTTTTGGAAAGCCCTGTATATGTCATAATTAAAAAAGCATTCTTCATTCATTTAATGAGAGCATATGGATATCTAAGAATATCTAATTTGCATTTCACTGGAAAAATTTCTAATAAAAATACATTTCAAAGTACTAAAAATATGTTTGGAATGTCTTATGAATACAAAAAAAGAGCATAATTAGATATACAAATTTCATAAAGGACAGAAATCTGATTTAAAAAAAAAACCACATTAACAAGATAAGATATGAAAATATCTGAGATCAGTGGCTTAATAAAGAAATCATTTTGAGCTATAGGGATTAACATTGGATGAAATTACATTATCTGTAGACATTTCTGCTGGTTATATTCACTCCAATATTTATACACTCTGATCTCAAGTAGAGAGGGAGGGTTGGAAACAGGAAGGGCATCTGACTGTAAAACGTAGGCAAATCACTTTTTGTCAATATTAGTCTATTGTGAGTAATATTAAATGACTAGAAGCATTAATTAATTAATAGTCAAATTAGTTTATAGCATCTGCCTCACAGGAACGTAGGACTGTACAGAAAGCGTATAGTGGCAATTTTGTGTAGGTATGGGAATAATAATGCCAAAGGAGAGAAGGATGATGTATAGTACATTCCGATATTCACAAAGATCTCAATGAGTAAGATGTGTGCTAAATAGTGATGTGCCGGATATCCGTATCCGTATCTGCGGATATCCGAGGGGAAAAAAAGATCCGTATCCGTATCCGTTACTTTTTTAGCGGATCTTTAACGGATCTTTTATCTTAATGAATTTCATTACTTATATGAAATTTTAAAGATAGGTAGCAATAGCACATTCGTCATTTACTATCGTAAAATATTTCCATATTACACTACTAAATTTTTTTGTCGACATTGTTTTTATTTTAATTTAACTCAACAATCTCCAAAAACACAAACGTAATCTATGCTATCCCGTGTCACACTAGCCACAAACCAGTGTTTCCCAACGTGGGGCCCACGCCCCACAGGGGGCAATTGGATTGCTAAGGAGGGCAATTCGAAAATGGACTTGTCCAGAGTTTAAGTTAACCGTATAGCCCAGTGTTTCTCAACCTGTAACGAACCGTCGCCCCCTTCACTTCAAAATTCCGATGCCGAGGGCCAAGGCTAACGCCAAATTCGTACTGCATCGAATAGACTAGTGACTAGTATAATGTTATTTGTTTAATTATTGTATGAAATAACGAATAAAATATCTAATTAATCTTAATTAATATAATGTTTTACTACATCGCCCAGAAAATTGTTTTTCGCCCCCAAAATATAAATTGTTACTAATCGCCCCCTCAACATGGAAAAACGCCCACATGGGGGCGATATCGCCCCCGTTGAGAAACACTGGTATAGCCGCTGTATATGTTAGGGAGACATAAGAATTTTAGAAAGGCTTACGTGGGGCATAGCACAAAAAAGGTTGGGAAACACTGCACTAAACTATTGTGGCAGTACGCTATATTTTTGTAAATATTAATTTTAGTTTAGTTTCGTTTCTTCTTTCTACCCTTTGTTCCATTGTTCTATTTTCTTCTAGAACTTTCTTATCTATTCCCTGTCTCTTGGGTAGGATGAGCAATTCCTAGAAATTTGAGGAGCAAAGGTGTAAACAGGAGCCGGAGAAAAAAGAGAAGTGACGTAGCAGATCATTCGTAAACCGGACGGCAGAGTGTACGGACGAGGTGAGAATACTGGGAGTCGTATTTTCAATGANAAGAGAAATCAGGAATGGGGGTGCTGCAATTATTTAGAAGAAAATAAATCTTTTGAATTTTTTTAATGACTATTTAAAAGGGATGGGGCAGTCATTGATTAGATTGGCAATCGGTAGTCATATATGGATTGCATAAAATAAAGTGATTCTAGTGCTGACCAAATCTTGAGGGTGCTGCATCTTGTCTATACTGTATATGCATTACTAGTTACACTATTTGTATCTCTTCTTGATCTTTGCATCCAGATTTATGTTAATTAATTCCATATAAACATATTGGTTAATCATCTTGCCAACTGGAAACATCCATGGTCCTCTGTGGCATTCGGCCAATTTCAACTTTACAGGATGGTGGTCTATCTGCCTATAATAATCTACATTTACCTTGCACATATTTCCATCTGCAAAAAGACATTTTGCAGGTACTTTTAAAAGTAGCAACAAATGAATTCTATGCAGTATGAGTTCTATTAGTTTCGGAATTTTCAGCTATACACTAAAAGTTTGATCTATAGGAAATAGATAAACAATAATGCGGAGTATGTATATAAGCATCATTAAGGGTTCTTTTATTGGAGACTCTCCAAATAAGCCATTACTTATTTATAATATTATTATAATAATTAAAACAAAGTAAGTGGTTAAAATATTCTACACATTTTATTGGGTAAGGTAATCCAAGTCAATTTCTCGCTACTATGGGATTATTCATGTGGTAGGCTACTGAGTTTATTTAGAAGAAAATAAATCTTTTGAATTTTTTTAATGACTATTTAAAAGGGATGGGGCAGTCATTGATTAGATTGGCAATCGGTAGTCATATATGGATTGCATAAAATAAAGTGATTCTAGTGCTGACCCAGAAGCGCCAACTGAGTACGAAAGTTGAGATCCGTATCCGTATCCGCGGATCTAGACACTAATGATCCATATCCATATCCATATCCATATCCGCGGATCTAGACACTAATGATCTGTATCCGTATCCGTATCCGTATCTGCGGATATACATTTTTAATGATCTGGCACATCACTAGTGCTAAAGCAGCTCTCCTAATAATAATAAGAAATCATGTGATAGTTTATATGAAAATGGGTAAATTCAGTGCTCAGTTGAATGATTTACTTTTTTTTAAATTCTGTAATGATAATGCACACATTCTTCTATAAACCAATAGAATCATGTTGCTTTACTCTTCTCAATATTGCTATAAATAAAGAAAAGGAAATAGCATTTGGGATTTTCTGCATAGTTTGGGAATAATCCTACAAATTATGCTGCTAAGATCTATGTAAAGTGACTGACAAAACATAAAGGAAGACCTTTCGGTCTTCCTTAATATTAAAATATCTATACAGAATGATTTATTTTTAGTTATCAAGTCAAAACAATGAATAACTTTGTAATTGAGGTTATCTTGCATCTTGCATATTTGCCTGATCTCTCATTGATTGATTTTGACATTCTGACAATGAAAGATTTTTTTTTATGATTTATATTTATATTTTGCTATCTGGGAAATAAATTTGGAGATTTTAGAACTTGAATGTGCATTAAAATGTATATTAAAGAAATGTTAACTATAATATAATCAATTTTTAAATTAACAGTAAAATAAAATTTTTGCAGCTAATAAATATCAAAGTAGGAATGCCTTTCTTGAGAATGTAGAAGTTAATGAACAATTATCCTTGGCTTTAAAAAAGTTACAAAATACAGTAGATGATGTGAAGAAACGTTTAAACTCTCTTGAACTTCAAGTAAATAAAATTCCTCATTCAAAAGAAATGCAGGTAAATAGAAGTAATTTTTTTATATTTTTTTCATAAAGATTTAGTAAACTTATGAATTTAACTGAAATCTTTCATAGTTAGTGAAAGAGTTAAATTAAATTCACATTTCAAAAGTTTATATGAATGCACTTTTATCATAAACCACAGTATTACTACTCAAACCTTTTAATTTTAATTTTTAAATATTTTTGGTCATTGTAAATGACCTTCAGGATAGAAAAAAAGAAACAAATTTGTTTCTTTCTAGCCTAAAGGTATCCTGAAAATTAAAATTATACTGCATAACTAGTTGAGAATAATAAATAAATAAAAAATATATATATATATATATTTATTTATTTTGTATATTCATTAAAAAATTAATATAAATTGGTATAGCAACTGTTTTATGGATAACAGAATAAAAGCATTAATTTTGATATATCAGTTTTAGTTTTATATTTATTTACCATTCCTTTTATTTATTTTTAGACGACAAAGTTTGCAATGATTTCTTTCAATAGTTTCTCGCCCATGGCAAAGATACTTATCATCTTGTGGCCTTTTATAGTGCACTGGTCGATGAACACTGTACACAAGCGACGCAGATTTATCATAACAAATCTATTGATATTATTTCAATATTTTTTTGGACTTATGTAAATTAATTGAAATAGCTATATTATATCAAGTAAGTGTCAATACAATTAAATTCTTTAGAAATTGAAATTTATTATTACTAAAAGAATAATATCTGTACGTAAGCAATTGTCCAGCCCCATTTATTAGTATTAAACCAAATACACGACTGCCGGATTTATCAGTCTACATTTAATTAATTAACTACATCATTTGTCTAAAGATAGGCAGTTAGACTTCCATCCTGTTTCAATATTAATAATTAGAAATTAAATTTAAATAAATAATTTAGAACAGTGCTGTCCAACTGGCGGCCCACCAAATAATTTTCACGGCCCGCGAGTACATTTTACTACGAATAAATTTATGTTACTAAATTATTATTATTAATATTAAAATTATTTTACTACCGTGTTTCCCCGAAAATAAGACAGTGTCTTATATTAATTTTTGCTCTGAAAAATGCGCTAGCTCTTATTTTCAGGGAATGTCTTATTTTTTCCAGGAAGAAAAATTCACATTTATTATTGAACAAAAAAATTCCCAAGTCGAACTTAGACGAGAGTGACGTATATCCNAAATTGTAACAATACTACTATATTTTTTTGCATCAACAAAATATGTTATTTGTTCATAGATGAAACATTAATAAAATAATTATTAAAACTAAAATAAAAAAGTTGTCAAGAGATCTTACATCATTTGCCCAGCACTCAAACAGGAGGTTAAGGAGACACTAGGAAGGAAATCTGATAATTTTCAATAATAATTGAAGTGCAATGAGCAAAGTGAGCAATATTCCTTGGTAGTGACTCAAGTTGACAATTCACTGTAACACATTTTGTAAAGTAATGATTTGACTGATTTGAATAAAGTTTTGCACATTAATAAAGTAACAAAATGGTGTGTCATGAATGAGACCAAATTTTAAAATTCAATCTAGAATGGAAGATATCGAGGGGGTCAAAAGTTATCCCCATGATAAGTCAATGGGAAAATTTTTCTATTGTAAAAAACAAACAAACAAATGCATGCTAGCCGACATTTGAAATATGACAAAATTCTTACCATTTGACTCTTTTTTTTTTCTTTTTAATTCCAATTTTCTTGAAAAATTGACCATGTATACCTTAACATATATTCATTAACATATTATACCTTGCACAACATATATATATATATATTTATTTATTTTGTATATTCATTAAAAAATTAATATAAATTGGTATAGCAACTGTTTTATGGATAACAGAATAAAAGCATTAATTTTGATATATCAGTTTTAGTTTTATATTTATTTACCATTCCTTTTATTTATTTTTAGACGACAAAGTTTGCAATGATTTCTTTCAATAGTTTCTCGCCCATGGCAAAGATACTTATCATCTTGTGGCCTTTTATAGTGCACTGGTCGATGAACACTGTACACAAGCGACGCAGATTTATCATAACAAATCTATTGATATTATTTCAATATTTTTTTGGACTTATGTAAATTAATTGAAATAGCTATATTATATCAAGTAAGTGTCAATACAATTAAATTCTTTAGAAATTGAAATTTATTATTACTAAAAGAATAATATCTGTACGTAAGCAATTGTCCAGCCCCATTTATTAGTATTAAACCAAATACACGACTGCCGGATTTATCAGTCTACATTTAATTAATTAACTACATCATTTGTCTAAAGATAGGCAGTTAGACTTCCATCCTGTTTCAATATTAATAATTAGAAATTAAATTTAAATAAATAATTTAGAACAGTGCTGTCCAACTGGCGGCCCACCAAATAATTTTCACGGCCCGCGAGTACATTTTACTACGAATAAATTTATGTTACTAAATTATTATTATTAATATTAAAATTATTTTACTACCGTGTTTCCCCGAAAATAAGACAGTGTCTTATATTAATTTTTGCTCTGAAAAATGCGCTAGCTCTTATTTTCAGGGAATGTCTTATTTTTTCCAGGAAGAAAAATTCACATTTATTATTGAACAAAAAAATTCCCAAGTCGAACTTAGACGAGAGTGACGTATATCCGGTGTGTCGAACTGTCGCCTTTTTATAGCGTCAACATCGGACTCGCTGACCAATTAGTGCTTACTGAACCGTAGCACTATGCAAATGTC